AAAATCTACTGATTTCGTTGTTGTAAGTTACTGATACGTAAAGTAAATAAATTATATTATAAATTACATCAACTAAATTAATAGAATAAAAGAGGCTAATTTTGTGTTAGGGCCATAGACCTCTGAGATGCAGATTATAAAAGAAAATTCAAGTTGAAAATGTCTGTCTTCTGGGTTGTTGCGTCTTTAGTCTGGTCGAAGGTTACAGACGTTTCAGGGATGTATATGCATCCATCATCAGGCCTCCCGACTACATGGCGCAACAATCCAGAAGATAGTCATCTTCATATTCGCCGCCGTGAGAACCTGAAATCTCTGAAAAGCAAACTGAATTTTGTTTCCAAAAGTAACGTTTATAGTGTTTCTGATATAAAAGTTGTCTGATTTGATGATTATGTATATTAAGTCTTATAATATTTACTTACGAAACAAATATGGGTACTAATGGATGTCTCCAAATGGCAATTCACCTTCTGCTCTATCGTATGTTACGAGACAGATCTGTGTAACACACATTAAAAGCTCACTGTCAGATCCTTGCGACATTAGAATATTGAAATGTTTGATAAGAACACTGGGGAACATTTCAGATATTTCATTAGAGTAACGACCCTCAGTTGAAACAAAAAATATGACTAAGGAAAGTAAGAGATAGAAAAGAGGGAGGAAATAAGAAAGTTATTAGGAAAGAATGTGATTAGGAACAGGACATGGAAATGTTAGCACTTGTGTCAACATAATAATTAATGTGCGAATTTAAATAAAAAAATAGCCTACTACTCTTTTCATTTTTCAACCCCCTTCTTCCAGACATATTCCTAGATATCTTGTTGCAATAGCACATGACTGATCAAGACTCAAACCCCTTTCCCAAGCTATTATGCATATGGTCCGATCTCCCGTCCATGGCATGCTGCAAAACATCTAAATATAGTATTGTTTCAATTTTTTTAGAGAGCCTCACATAATTGCTCTGAACGTATATGGAACAGTGAAACGGACATTGCAGAATGCTACATTTTAATTCGTATGTCACAGTTCTCAGCAGAGATTATTCCCTCCTTCACTACGTGCAAACTGAATATGGAGTCTGACCCCACATAACCTTCTAGCGAATGTGTACTGCAGGGTACAGAGTAAAGCCTACAATTCGCTTCAATCTAGTTTTGCTGTTAAAATGCATATATTGTTACCTCCGTTCTGACGAATTTAATCTTTGCCTTGTCTCACACAGGGGAAAACTTCTGTTGTCCTGATAACGAATGTTATTCCATGGATCCACCATGGAGATCTGTTTTTCGGCCAGTACCAAACCCTACATGTGTGGACGATGTGGAATTTTTACTCTTTACCAGGTAAAATGAGTTTACATATTAAATAATGTGCTATCGTTGAGATTCTCCAGTCATTCACCCCGTTACTAGTGAACGGATTGTTATGAAGCACTGTTCTTCTTAACATTCGCTTCGCTCATCTGGCCAAGAAATTTCATGCTTTTATATAAACCGAACTTTCATTACCGTGTTAGTAAGATCCCCGCCATTGTACCATATCCTGAGCCAGATTAATCCAGTCCCAATTCTCACGTGACAGTTCTTTAAGTCTCGTTTTAATGTGAACAGTGGAAAATACCTGTTGATATTCAATAATGCATTACATCTTCTTTATATGCAGTCCTTGCTCTCTTATTTCCTTTCCTTTATCACTTCTAACGGTTACCTCCTTTAAAAATACTTCTAATAGCTATCTGACTATAGAAAAACTTGTAAAGTAAACCTTCTGCCATCCACTATCACTATTGGGAAAGTTGGTCAGTCATTCATAACAAACGTACACATAGTTGTAAATGGCACCCCATTATGTTACTCGTATGTAGATACATCATGCCATCTACTCCTAGGTCACCCGTTTCATTGCCATAAGTTGGTTTGACATTGCCTACAGAACCAAATACAACATACAGGCCTTTAGGAAGGTAAGAGTAGAC